TTCCTCTCCCTCTCCCTCTTTCCCTCTCCCTCCCCCTTTCTCTTAACATTCTGCTGCCACCTGCTTTTTCCCTGCCACAGCTCAAGTCCTTAAGTCCCTGGGGCAGACATGGACACTGTCCAAATAACTTCCAGCTCAAAACTTTCGACACTTTCTTTCTCCCAGAATGGAGAGAAAACAATGTTGTCTCTTCACGATACAGCCTCTCTTTGGTTCACGGCATAAACTGCCTTGTCTGATCCAATCCCCAGGCTTCTTCCTCGGCAGCAGAAGTCACTGCCAGGGTATCCACGGTTATTTCTTCTTGGCAGAATCATTAGCAGGTGGTATGCAAGGTTACATAAGAAATAAGTACTTTTAAACAAAAGAAACCAAATATATTGGCCATGTCTAATAATATGCCTCATTCCCTACCCATATTTCACTTCCTCTCTGCCAAGAGGAGGAAGGAATGTTTTGCCTTACTCAGGAACAAGATTGATTATTATTTTAGGCAGAGTTCTGACATCTGTCAGTGATACTTTCTTTTTATCAGTGATAGTTTCTTTTACATTATTGCACTCCTTGTATAAATTGTTTTCTTGATTCTGCTTACTTCATTCTGCATAAGTTCATAGAAGTCCTCCCAAATTTCATATTCATTACTTCTTACCAAAAACATTTTCATGTTAAAATTCCCAAATTAAATACATAATTTACATTAAATATCCCACAATTTGTTCAGTCATTCCCATTTGATGGGAATCACCTTTGTTTCCAGTTTTTTGCTATCACAAAATGAGATCTATAAATATTTTTGTATATATGCAATTTTTCACTCAGACTTTGACCTCCTTGGTGTTTGTGCTCAGTGGGGGTATCACTAGAATAAAGGGCAAATATAAATTAGTGACTTTTCATGAATAGCTTCAATTTGTTTTCCAGAATTTTAGACTAATCTTTATCTACAGTAGTGAGTTGACGTGTCTGTTTTCCTATTGCCCCTCCAAAATTTTCCATTGCTATCTTTGTTCATTTTTGCCCTTTTGATGAATGAAAGATGAAATTCAGAAGAATTTTAATTTGCATTTCTCTTATTGGTTCTTTGTAGCATACTTTCACGTGATTGCTAATAGCTTGCATTTCTTCTTTTGAAAAGTGTCCACTCCTGCCTTTTTGCCACTCACCTATTAGGAAATGGCTCTTGATCTTATATATTTATGTCAATTTTATCATCTTGGACATTAGACTTTTATCAGAGATATTTGATGAGAAGTTTCCCCCCAGTTAACAACTTTTTTTCTTATCCTAGCCAAAGTACTTTGTGCCAAAGTTTTTCAGTTTAATGTAATAAAAATTATCTACTTTATCTTTTAATAATTTTCCTCCCTAGCTGTAGTTGTGAAAGGTATCTCACTGTCCTCTATTTTTTTAAATGATTTTTAAATTAGACAAGGCCAAAAGGTCATTTTTCAGTGACCTTCTATTTTAGATTGTATGTTCACATGGATCTTATTGTAATATATGGTGTAGGATTTGGTTTAAACCTACTTTCTGCCAGTCTGGTTTCCAGTTTGCATAATGTCTCCACCCCTTAGACTGTGAGGTCCTTGAGGGCAGGGACTGTTGATGCCCATTTTTTTTTTTAATCGCCAAAGCTTAGCACAATGCCTGGAACATAGTAAGCACTTAGTAAATGCTTGTTGATTGACTAGTTGATATTATAGATCGATCATAGTCTGCATCAGAATTAATTTCTGAAACCTACTTATAGGAGAGAGCCCAGGCTAGCTAGCCATTACTCCTCTTTCCCTAAAAGCACCTACAGCTGAAATTCTAGGCGGAAAAGTTATTTACTGCCTCGAGGTTCACTCCACTACTTTTACTAAAACTAGGCCTACTCAAGTCTGTTGGGTTACAATATACAATGTTTCCTTCATTGTAGATGTTACTGTCTGAGCCAGGGCTTGATTCAGACAGTCCTTGTGCTGCTCAGGGGCAGTCTCTTTCATTTAGTGACTTGGAGAAATGTTCATGACTTTTCTTCACTTTCTCTTTTAGGAATCCAACCAAATCACCCCTTGGCAGTAAGTGATTTTGGTGAATTAACTTTGCTGGGTCCTCATCATTCTCAGTGGCTACCTCATGGACTATATTGAGACCAGCTTCATCTTCTACCTCAAAACCCTTTGACATCATCCCTCAATTCTCTTTTCCCCCACTTTCTTAAAAAAAGCGGTGGCCTTCTCCATACTAAAACTAACCCATCTACATGTGCACTTGATCCTACGCCCTTTCAACTTCTCCTATGGATTGCATCTGGAAACATTCAACTCTCAAATCTTTGACCTCTTTCTATCAACCAATTCCTTTCTTACAGCCTTTGAATATTCCCAAGACTCCTCCATCCTTAAAAAACGTCTACTAGACCTTACCCATCCCCTCAAAACATCGTCCTATATTTCTCCTCCCTTCCTCAGTCAATTCATTGAAAAAGTTGTCTGGGCTCATTTCTGTCTTCTCCCTCACTCCTTAGCCTTTTTTTTTTTGAAGCAATCAGAGTTAGGTGACTTGTCCAGGGCCACACAGCTAGTTAGTGTCTGAGGCCAGATTTGAACTCAGGTCCTTTGTACTCCAAGGCCAGTACTGTATCCACCGTACCACCTCCTCAATCTTTTGAAATGGAACTTCCAATCTCACTACTCAAACAACTTTCTTCAGTTACCAATGATGTCTTAGTTGTCATGTTTGATGATGTTTTTTCCTTAGTTTTCACTTTCTTGACCCGTCTGCCTCATTTGTTGTGCTCTTGTCCACTCTCTCCTTCCTCTCTGGGTTTCCATGACACTACTCTCTCCTCAACTCTTCTTTAGATTTTTACAGCGGCTTTTTAATTGGTCACCTCGCCCCAGGTCTCTCCCCACTCCAGTCCATCCTATATATGCTGCCAAAAGTTTGTCTTAAATGCAGATCTGACCACGTGACTCCCCTACTCTATAAATTCTATTGGCTCCTGTAGTCCCTAGGATAAAATCCAAATTCCTCTGTTTAGCTTTTAATAGCCTACCCAACTGGCTCTGAGCTAGCTTTCCAGCTTCTCTGGGCATGACTACCCCTCCTGTACTCTCAAGTCTTGCCGAATTGTCTTTTCTCTTCCTCCCAAGGAACACACCATCTCCCATCTCCATGGCTTTGCATTGTCTTTTCCACATGCCTGGAATGCCTTCCCCACTTACCTCCTTCTCCCAGAGTTTCTCCCTTCTTCTAAGATGGAGTTCAAGCACCATCTAATACATGACTAAAGGCTTTCCTGATTCTTCCCCTCCCAAGCTATCTTGTATTTAACTAGGTTGGATAAATCTGTATTTATTCACTTTAGACTTACGTTGCATATGTTTTTACACATATTTGTCATCTCCTCCATTAGAATGTAAACTCTTTGTGGGCAGGAGGTGTTTTCCTCTTTGTACTTGCAGCCCCAGCAGCAAGCACAGTGCCTGATACATAAACTCAATTCAATAAACATTTTAAGTGCCTACTATGTGCCAAGTACTGGGGAGACAAATAAGAAAACAACAGTTCCCTGCCCTCAAACAGCTTACAATCTAATAGGGGAAGACAGTAGGTAAAAATAAGCTGAAGGGGGCTGTACAAAGGGGGAACCCTGGCACCAGGAAGTGATGGAAACCCACTGATGGAAAATGGAGAACTTATTTTGACTTGTGCCCAGACTAACTAAGATGCTACAGGTGAAACTAATGTTTACCTATGTAACATGTGACTTGCATGTAGTTGCATGTATTGAGTGGTACTCATGTTAATTACAACATGCGATGAAATATATTTACTTGATTATGGGCTAATGTTACGCAAGTCCTGTAGCTACAGTTGTCTATTAGTTATACTTGGTATTGTTGTTTCTTCATTTGCATAAACACTCATGCATCAGCCTGTTTTGTTATTTCATAGGTCTATCAATATTGACATTGGGCAGCTAAGGGCCACTGCACTGGATAGAGCGCTGCCCCTGGAGTCAGGAAGACCTGAGTTCAAATTCAGACTCAGACTCTAGCTTGCCTGGGGTGTTACAGCTAGCAAATGGAGGAGCCCCATCTCCTGATTTCAAATCCATAGCACCTGACCAAAGGATCATGGCGCCAAAGATTTGAAGTTGGAAGGGCCCATAAAGGCCACCTCAATCAACCCATCTCATTTTACAGATGAGGAAACTGAGGCCCCAGAGGGAGAGTGACTTCCCAGTTATACAAGTGGTAAACAGCAGAGTCAAAATTGGAACCCAGAGCCTGTCACTCAATAGTCAGCCTTTTTTTCCATTGTGTTATGCTGGCTTTCACTAGGTTATCTATTATGAGTCCAATGTTTGTTCCATTATAAGGCACGGTCTCTCCATTCTTATTCACACCCACACCGTCTACACACACACACCCACACCCACCCACACACACACCCAGACAGCCATACACACACACTCTCTCTCTCTCTCTCTCTCTCTCTCTCTCTCTCCCCCCAGCTCTCAATGATATCCTGTCACATTATCAACTTTATAAGTATTAATATTCCCCCACTCTCCTTTACTCACTTGAGTAGGCTGCCAATTAGAAGGATGATTTGGACAAAATTGGGCCCCAGTGCAAAATGAGCTAATATGAATATCTAGTGGATTTTTATTTGTTTCTGTGTGACTACATCCTGACAAGCCGAATAAAATAGGAGGAGGGCAGGAAGGGGGAACGATGTAAGGGTGTTTGTGTGTGTCTGGGTGTGTGTAGGTCTGGGTCTGAATGTGCGTCTGTGTGTGAGAGTATGTCTGTGTCTAAGTGTCTTTTTGTGTCTGTGTCTGTGTATCTGTCCAGGTGTGTCTTTGTGTGTGTGTCTGGGTC